GGCGCTCTCACTCTCTCTCTCTCTGACACACACACACACACACACACGCACACACACATACACTTACACGTACACACATCTCTTTTAATAGCCATTATTGGCTCCCTTTGCCTCTTCCAGATCCCTGAATCAGAAATCACAGAGGCCCATTATATTTCCTATTGACCCATTTGGCAAGATGGTGGGAGCATCGAGTGCTGGATTAAATCGAAAGCAGTTTATAATCCAGTAATTCTAATGTTTTAATTACTTAGATGAACAGGAGGTGTTTGAGCAAAGGCTAATCGCTGAGACATAAGGGGGAGAGAGGGAGAGACAGAGAGAGGCGGCAAGAGATTTATTTTTCTCCTTTGCAACACACATTGGCCTACTCGTGGAATATTAGCGCCGTATTAAAGTTTATCACCCGTTATCAACACAGATTAAAAGATTCACAGGTGCGAAACAATTACCAAACTTATATGTCACTGTGTATTGGTATGTAATCTGCATTTGCGGCTGCTTGTTTTTGTTATATGGCACCATGTTCTAGTTTTGAAAAATCTGTAAATCTAGGCTGAAATTGCAAATTATCGCAAACATTTTTCATGGAGATCTGCTGTACCTTGAGTAACATCCATGGCTGTAACCAATCCCACAATTGTCTTTGATAGCCACCCCTCCTGTCAATCAGGCTGTAGGACAAAGGCTGCTAAACCAAGGCTGATGACCTCATGCCTGGGGTCTGCTCCATACCGAAGGGGTCTTAACACCGTTCAACTTGCCTTTTGTGTCTGGGGCCGTTTTTCAGACGCTGCTGAGTACAGAGAATCGCCTGGCAATATCTCTCTAGGCCCAGGATGCACACACATACACACACAACTGTGCCGCACACATCCCCTTGATCCATGGGCTGGAGCGTTGAGCCAGGAGTGAGCCTTAAGACAAGGAGTGACAACGGGGACAGCTGCAGGGGCTGGAAGCCAGTCTTAGCCACCACCCCTTCCACCAACACCACTACCTCCCAAACTGCCTCCAGCCAGCCAAACAAGCCATTGTTTCTGGCCAGGGCCTTTGGTATTTCATTTGTCATGAAATGGATACGGACACGGAACAACCATGAGGCTCTTTCTCTAAAAAAGAAGCTGCTACTGCGACTGCTGCTGTTGTGGCTGCTGGTTGCTGAGCCCAGATTGCTAACGCCCCTCATCCTTAACCTTCTCGTACAGCTTGCCCCAAGCACCCTGCTCTAAACTATTAATAAACCTGCTTTTTCCAAGGTAGAGAGGTAGAGGGAGGGGGTGGTCCGAAGTGTATTGTTTGCCGAAAGGGTATAAGAAGAAAGAAAAAGAGAGAGTGAGAATGTGGGAGGGAGGGAGGTTAGCTTACATGCCAATCTGTTTTTGTCATCCTTTATGATCTTCATTTTCCCAGGTTTCTCAGTGG